CCGAGGCTATATCTGTTGGTGTTATTTTAATGGTACAATGCGGGTGTCTAACGGCCATAATATGGGATCGTCCCTGTCTGAGTCTGAGAGTCCTAGCTAGGACGGTGTCCATTTTATTGGCATTTTCATAGTATGTCCGCTTCGTCCACACCATGGACCTGGCCGTATCATCTAGCAGTAATGTACGGATGGAACGTCTTACTTACAAGAAATAGATCTATCCTAGAGTATGTTCCATGCGGGGCTGAGTAGTGTAATCTACGTCGCACGGGTGATGCACACGCCAGACCTACCAAGCCCACTGCTGCAATGAATTCCCTAAACAACTTGACTTGTCCTTCCCTCCCCTGTGATCTAGGACCTCCCCTCCTCACACTCCTGTCGACGGCGGGTCACGGCACCGCATTAAAAATCCCACCCCTGCAAGGACTAATGTAATTTGACTCATAACTCTACTTTCAATTAACCAATCAGAGTGTTGTTATGAGTCAAATTACACAGCGTGGGAAAATTCCAAAGAACTTTCCCACGCTGTGTAAAATCACACAGAGCACTCTGATTGGCTGGATTTCAAGCTAACCAATCAGAGTGCCGTGACAGGTAAATGTAGAGACTTACCTGTCAGTCTCTTTATTTACCTGTCAGAGCACTCTGATTGGATAACTTAAACCAACCAACCAAACAGACTGCTCTGAGCCTAAATGCAGGGTGGGGCAAGGCTTTATAAGTCTTCCCCTGCCCTGCAGAGCTCAGTCTGCGGGGAGCCCTCTGGTTATTTTTTTGTTTTTTTTAAAGTGCAACGGTTAATATGGATTTTTATTTGGCCTTTTTTGGGGCTGAAGAAAGAAGATTTTAGAAAAAAGAAGACATCAAATGGTAAGTTTTTTTTTTTTTTTAGGTGCCTAGTTATTGGTCCCCCCCCTCATTATTTTAAGGGTGAGGGGTGTAACGGCTACCCTGCTGTAGGGGGGTACCTGCCGTTGGAGACGTCCTTTTCTAGGCAAGCTGCTGTGCAGTAATGGAGTTCTAATTCCCATCCACGATATCCAAGGGTATAATCCGGCAGTGCTGTAAAATGAGGCAGAGTAACGGTACCATAAATCCCCACCAAGAACGAGACGAGGCTACGTTTTGAAGGGTCAAGTAGAACTGATGTTTATTGACAGGGGTCTCCTTTTATGCAATAGTGCCCTCTGAAAGGCTACACCCACATAATTATCACAACATCCAATTAGATACATGGTTCAACCCCCACGTCTCCTCCCCTCAGATAACATATAACATAATTAAAACAGACACAATTTTAACCACATTCTGGATGTACCCCAAAAACAGGGGGTACACCTTTAAGTCCAGCACTTAATAGCTCTCACTCAGGGGAACAATATATCCAAATTTCAGCCCATTCGGTTGAGGGGTTCGGGAGTTATGGATCTTTGAAGTTTTGACCGACCGCACAGGTTTTCTAGCCAAAAAGAGTTCCATAAGTTTTGGCCTTGCGGTCGGTCTCCGTTCGTGCATTAAAACCCCACGAACCCCTTGCCATCCACAGTCATCCTGGTGTTCGCTGGAATCCCTATGCAGGCTTAAACAAACCTACCGAACGGCCGGTCGTTCGGTAGTTCCAGCACGAACTTACGAGCTCCTGGAGGTCTCAGCGGTGTTCGCCTGTTTGCGTATCCGTTTTTAGTTCCATGCGTTCACAGGCAAACACCGCCGTTCGTGCGTAAGATGGCCGCGAACACGTGTAAAGTCCCGAAATGGCGGCCATCTAACCTGAGCACAAAGGAATTCGTATGAACCATGCGAACGGCTCCACAATCACTGGGAGGTAAAATATCAATTAACTGTTCCCCTGGGTCGTCTGATGTGTGGTATTTTGGGCTGTATGTTACAGTAGGAATATTTACACGAAAACCAGCCATTTGGTTTTTGTTTGACACATCCAGCAGCATTGTTATTTAAGTCCAGGCAAAAGTATAGGCACAATCATAGTTCTGTTACAAGGGGTTAATAACTTTTTTGGGGAGGGGGTGACTAGGGCTTTAGGGACCCAGAGTCACCGGGGGGGTTACATTTTTATTTAGGGCCCCTCCCCACCGCTCAGGGGTGGGGGCCGGGGGGTATTTAGGGCCCCTACCCACCGCTCAGGAGTGGGGCCAGGGGGAGGACAATAGGTCCCCCCTTATTAGTATTTAGGGCCCCCACCCACCGCTCGGGGGGGGGCCGGGGGGAGGACAATATTCTTCTTTAGGGTCCACACCCGCCGCTCAGGGGTGGGGGCAATAGGTCCCCCCTTCAGGTTCGAAGCCCCCACTCGCGCGGCACGAGTGGGGGCTCGGGAGGGTGGACACAGGGGTTTTTTTTTTTACAGTGAGCAGCCACAGGCTGCTCACTGTTTACTATACATGCCCCTACTCATGGTATAGGGATTAGGGGCATAATATACTAATACTAAGTAATCTTTACTTCGTGTGAGAAAACACACCGGGAGTTCGGGGTTTTCTCTGAGTATTCATCTGTGTGGCGGAACCAGCCTCACCACTGGGCATTGGAGAAGACTGATTGCCGGCCTTCTGCCCTGTGACTATGGCCCCATGTTGAAAGGATGGATTTTCCCCTGCAAAGACCCAAAAGCTGGGTCTTTCGGTACTTTCCCTATGTGAGCAGTGTTACCCAGATAGCTATGCCATGGAGCCCATTTGTATAATGAAAGACTATGGAAAAGACTTTGGCTCCATGGCAATTGAACTGTATGTGTGTGCTCTGAGCGCCATTCAGTAATAATGTGCGCTCAAATCTGAGCTATCTGGGGATATGTTGAATGTACCTGTTTTGTGCAATGGCTGCACAGTTATATGTTTTTATGTGTTTTATTGTCTTTTGCTGCCATGTGGTTAATGGAGTTTTGCCTCTGTCCTGGAGATAATTGGATTACTTCCCCAATTATCTCCAGGATAGAAGACTCTGTGGAACTGGTTTTGGGCAGAAAAGCCATGCTGCATTTGGTCAAATAGGACTTTTCCTTAACTTTTGAACCACTGGACCAATATGTATGATTTTGACATATGTTTGTATTTGGAGTATGCTGATTCTGAAAATGGAAGTTTTATGGGAATGTGATGCATACTTTTCAAGAGATAGATATGAATAATGTGGAAAAACTGTATTTCTCTGGCTGTGATAATTAGATTAACCATTGTGTTCAGTAATCATATCACAGCCAGAGGGGAGGATTTTGTGTGGGAGTGTCTTTCTGTAATGTACGTGTGTTATTGGTTGTTATGTAAAACCCTGTGCAGGGCCGGCGCTACCTGTTAGGCGGACTAGGCAGCCGCCTAGGGCGCCCCTTGGGAGGGGGCGCCGCCAGGAGCGCCGGCCCCCCTCATGCTGCAGCCGCCGGAGCGCTCTGTAGAGAGCCTCAAATGGCTGCAGCTTTGCCCGGGCGGTGCGTCCATGAGGGTTGACCTGAGGAGAGGGGCTGACAGGAGGGAAGCGCTCAGCGCTCCCTCCTGTCACTCCCTCACTGTAGCGTGCACGAGCCCTCTATTGGTCCGCGGGTACAGGGAGCAGCTGTCTCCTGTACCCGGCCGGACTAACAGGAAGTGAACACAGAGTG